GGATGCAACATGGTCCACCCTTAATTCTTTGGTGATATTAGCTGAATATTTGTTAGCTTCTTGTTTGAAATTTCCCGTTCCACCTTAAATGGTGCAGCAGTTACATGCTGGCACCTCAGGCATCAGTACTGCTGGACCATTTAAGGTGGAAAAGTGAATTTAGCGTGCTAGCTACCGAGGCATTATCATACTACTAGCGATTTTTTACGCTTGTTATGAAGAAAAGGACCATAATACATTGAATCAACATGAAACACAATAGGTTATCGTAATTATTTTAAAGAGAAAGTATTTACATTTGTGGGTTTCTATGGTCGCTGTGCAGCCATTTTGCCGGTACTGCTTTTTTTTCTCATAACACTCCCTTTGAAGTCATCATCATCATCGCCATTAACCGCTTAGTCCAGCTAGGGTCGCCGTAGCAGTTGGGAGAGCAGAGAATCCCAGACGACCCTGTCCCCCGCAACTTCCTCCAGCTCATTCCTGGGGACCCCAAGCCGCTTCCAGGCCAACCTGGAGATATAATCCCTCCAGCGCATCCTAGGACGCCCCCCGGGGTCTTGTCCCGGTAGGCCATGCCTGGTACATTCCCACCGGGAGGCGTCCAGGGGGCATCCGGATCAGATGCCCAAACCACCTCAGCTGGCTCCTCTTAATGCGGAGGAGTAGCGGCTCTACTCCGAGCTCCTCCCGGATGGCCGAGCTCCTCACCCTATCAAATAGAGTGTAGCCCGCCACCCTGCGAAGAAAGCTCATTTCTGCCGCTTGTATTCACGATCTCATTCTTTCGGTCATTACCCACAGCTCATGACCATAGGTGAGGGTCGGGATGTGGACCGACCGGTAAACAGTGAGCTTCGCCTTACGGCTCAGCTCCCTCTTCACCACTACAGTCCGGTACAGTGACCGCATTACTGCTGCCGCCTGTCCCAGCCTGTGGTCGATCTCACGATCCCTCTTCCCATCACTCGTGAACAAGACCCAGAGATACTTAAACTCCTCCACCTGAGGCAAGTCCTTTCCCCCTACCTGGAGTGGGCATGCCATCCTTTTGGCATGGACTCAGACTTGGAGGTGCTGATCCACATACCAACCGCTTCACACTCAGCTGCAAACTGCTCCAGTGCGCGCTGGAGGCATCCATGTGATCCAGCCAAAAGAACAACATCGTCTGCAAATAGCAGAGACGCCACCCTTCGTCCTCCACACATAATGCCCTCCTGACCACGGCTACGCCTTGACACCCTGTCCCTGAATATCATGAACAGGAGTGGAGACAGGGCACAACCCTGGCGGAGTCCAACGCTAACACTGAAAGTGTCTGACTTAATGCCGAGGGTACTGTTCCCGAGGTCCATGCAATATTGCAGAGGCGTGCCAGCCACGACAGCCCCACAATATCCAGAGCCTTAAGCATCTCCGGACGAATCTCATCCACCCCCGGTGCCTTGCCACTGAAGAGCTTGCCAACTACCTCAGTGACCTCCACCAGGGAAATGGAGCTTGACACGCCAGAAGCCTCTGGCCCTGACTCCCGTGAGGGAGGCATATCTCCCAGATTAAGGAGTTCCTCAAAGTGCTCCTTCCACCGACCGACAATATCCTCATTTGAAGTCAGAGCTTCCCCACCCCTCTCAAATACAGCTTGGGCGCAGCCACCCCAACCGCTCCTGAGTCGCCGGACAGTCGTCCAGAACTTCCTTGAGGCCAACCGAAAGTCTTTTTCCATGGCTTCTCCAAACTCCTCCCACGCCCTGGATTTTGCTTATGCCACTGATATCAAGGTAACGTAGCTCACAATGACTGACTGACATTAGCAGGCTAGCCAGCTATCAGTCACTGCCATACAAACTTTGAAAGGGGTTTAGGGATAACATACATACATACATCTTCTAAACCGCTTTTCCTTCTGGGTCGCGGTGGGGTGCTGAAGCCTATCCCAGCTGTCATTGGGCGGAAGGCCGGATACACCCTGGACAGGTCGCCAGTCCATCGCAGGGCAGACAGCACAGTCACACACACACACTCACACCTAGGGGCAATGTAGCATGTCCAATCAGCCTGACTGCATGTTTTTGGACTGTGGGAGGAAACCGGAGTACCCGGAGGAAACCCACGCAGACACGGGGAGAACAGGCAAACTCCACACAGAAATGACCCTGGTCGCCCAGCCGGGAATCGAACCCAGGCCATTTTTGCTGTGAGGCGACAGCGCTACCCACTGCGCCACCGTGCCGCCCGGTTTAGGGATAACTTGCCATCTAATCCATTCCATTGTCTTGGTTTTAATGTTGTTTATTGAAGTCTTACAGCACATTTACAAGGTGCAAAGGCCACAAAGGCAGTGTGGACATGATCTGACTAATTCAATAACACAGTCCAGATGTATATCCCCATCATAAAGGACAAACAAAGCAGGAGAGTCTGATTAATACTGAATACAGATGAAGTATTTCCTTCTACTGTTTAGGTCTGTTGATTTAAAAATAGCTGGTTAGACACTAATCAGCATTTTCCCCTTTGGACTTGAGTCTTCTCTTCACTTGCTGTAGTGGTGCCTGCTCTGTATATTCTGGTGTGACAGATTTGTCCATCTTGTATGCGCTAATGCCCATGTTGGACTTTATGAAAAAAGAATGAAAAAACAGCATTGATCATCACACTGCATACAACAACAAACAGCTCACTGAGTACGACCTAGCATCTCTTCATACTTCTTTAAGCTGTTTTTATCTTTGGTGATTAGTTAGTGAATTCAGCTTTCCTGCTTTGAGAATACATTTATCACCTCAAAGAATATATTTATGATGTCAAAATTTAAATAACTGATGCTACTCTTTATGATGTTTACATTGAACACATGCAACATCTTGCAAAGTAATAGATTACTTCAACTTAGTAAAGGCAATAATTCTATATAGAGCCATGAACATCATGCTTAAATGGTTCTTTGCATGGAGAAATGGTTCAAAAAGGGTTCCGCTATTGTTACAGTGTCAAGCTTGTAACAATAAATGAAGTCTTTTGGAGCTGTATAGGACTATTTTCGAAAAGGTTCTATATAAAACCATATGCAACATATCCCCCTTCAATCTAAAGAAGGATTTCACCATGTAAAGAACCATTAAAGCATGAAATACTTCTATGTAGAACTCATGGTTCTAAACAGAACCATTGTCTATATTAAAGAACCCTTGAAGAACCATCTTTCTTAAGTGTGTATCTCAGTCTTATCATTTTCAGCACATAGAGGACCAACACAGCGCAGGTGTTTGGTGTTGCCATGGTGATCCTCCAACTCTTATTTCTCCTCTCAGGAAAGCCTTAAACACCTATTGGCTCTAAACATTATGGGTCGATTTCCCAGACAGGGACTGAAACTGGTTCTGGACAATGTTTTTGCTTTAATGGAGCCTCTCCACTCATGTAGTGGAGTCTAGGACTAGGCTTAATCCAAATCTGGCACAGCAACCCCATATGTTAATCAAAACTTTCTAATGTTGATAAATCATTTTAGACAATTCCATGAAAATGTAAGCTGTAGTTTTATTTGCAAGATGCACAGGAACCATACAGGTCAAATATTAGAGCGAATCCTCTTAAAATAGACAGATGTTGCAGAAGGTTGATGTGAACAGCTTTGTGTTTGTTCCAATCAAGAGATGTTAAACTTTAATACGAGAGCAGACGGTGCCCTCTCCTGGACTCATCTGGTATCAAAACTTCAGTTCATTATTTTGGTAACTGAGTGCAAAACAAGAACGAAGATCTCTTAATTGGAACCAACATATTCTCTTCATTTTATTCTCTTTTAACACAGCTAGTGGCTTTGGTCCAGTTGTTTTAGTACTTGAACAGTTCAAATTAGTTTTAAATTGTTTATTAGGTTTATTAGATTTAACCTGCAAACAAAGAAAGTTATCACAATCAAAATGAAGAAGAAAAGAATTATTCTATGTCACTATTCAAACTGAAGCAAAGTTCTGAAATTGACCATGTTAACTTTTATTTGTCTCCATTACAGTAACCGAAGACAAATTGAAGCAGTTGGTAAAATTCTGGGTGGGCTGGGAGCTGCCCATGAAAGGCATTCAAGTAGAAGTGGTGCAGGCAGCCTATCCATCATCATCCACCTGCTTTCATATCCTGCGCTTACTTGGTCACTACACAAACTACAATGAGTTCTCTGATCATTTGGAAGGTTGTATTGCCTGCAATGATAGTGGGTTTGGACTGATATGATTATGTAGGAAAAGAAGCATCATGCAGTAAAGGGTTCTGTTTTTCACTTTGATCACTTACTCATGTATGCATGTTATCTTGGGATAGAAAAAAGTTAAAACTGTCCATTTTTTGCACTGTTGCCCTTCCCCCAAATACTGCAGTTCTGAAATACACACTGTTTAAACATGCAACCTTTTATTTTACTTACAAAGACTTTTTTTTATGTCAATTCATGTTAAACATGTTGGGTCATTTGAAACCTTTTCATTGTCCAAGTTTAAAATGTTTTAGATGTTTTAAGCCTTGTAGATGTTTTAGGAAAACTATTCAGCCATTTAATAGCTCTTTAGACAAGTTGAGGTTTAAAAAAAAAATAAAAAATTATTGTAACCAATGTTTTGCATGTACTGCAGTGCTGCTAAATAAATATCAGCACCAAAACTTGTTGACTCTCTTATTGGCTCTACAGTAGACTTTAGTCCAGCAAATTCATCAGCTGTCCGTGGGCATTTGATTTCAGGGACCTGGATGCCAGAGCTGGAATCACTGGGCAGAAGTCCACTGCTTTCCCAGTCTATTTGTGGAATGTTCAGATTCTGTTAAATAAAATTTCAGCTTCAGTGAATGGAACAACAAATGTATACATAAATGGAGGAAAAGCATTAAAGTTTAAAGTCATGCTTACTTCATCAGACTCTTGAGAGTGATATTGTTGTCCCAGGTGCCACAGCTGAGAGAGGTTGCCCTCTGTGCAAATAGGATGATTATCCCAGCCATCTCTGAATATGTCAGGGTGGGCTTGCAGGCATGGAATGAAGGCATAGTGGCAGCAAAAGATGTGCAGGCTGTTGGACAGATCAAGATGACCCTCATCCTCAAGCTGATGCAGGACTTTGTAGAAGTGGCTGGTGACTGCTATGAACACATCAAGCGCTCAATTCTGATTACAAAAGCCATCAGACACAGACTGGTTATGTAGGAATTGTAGATACTTAAGGGTTTATTCATAATTACCTTTGATTGTGGACGCTTTTGCCTGCAATGAAGCTACTCCTTCCTGTTCCCCGAACGGAGAACACAACACGAGCCACATCAACGTTCTCTGCTCCATGATCGCCCCGCACCCTGTTAAAACACAAATTTGGTAACAAAACACTGCATATGGTTAAATGTGATTTTCTGGAGCGGGGGTCACCAATCTTGGCCGCAAATGCCTTTTCACTGCAACCAAGCAGGAGCACACCTCATATAACTGATCACTTATTTGAAAATTGAGACTAACTGATTAAACCAAGTAAAATCAGATGTGCTTCTGCTTGATCTGAATGAACACCTACTGCCATACTGGCCCTGCCAAGATTGGTGACCCCCTGCTCTACATGTTTCACCTATACAGACTAAGGCTCTATGCAGCATAGTTTCCAGGAGATTAAATACAACAACTTTTGGTAACACTTTAGGATACTGTTTATAAGGCTACGTGACACCTACATCTCAAGTAAGTTGTTTGTCAAGACAACTGACATAACCCTACATCAGGAGGTGTCCAATGTTATCCACAAAAAGCCTGTGTGGCTACAGGTTTTTTATTCCAACAAAGCTGGAGATCACATGAACAGCAGTTTAAAGACCGAAACCAGCTGATTAAACAAGTTTAATCAGGTGTGCTCCAGCTTGTTTTGAATGAAAACCTGCAGCCACACTGGCCCTTTGTGGGCCCTGTCCTACATAAATGTTTACAAATGCTTATTCAAGTAGGCTACATTGGTTACATTTGTCAATTTTGATCAAATTGAGGCTTTATAGCCTGACAGATGATGCCTACTGGAATAAGCATTTATAAACATTTATGTAGGGTAATGCTGGTTGTCATAACAAGCTTTTGTAGGTATCATGTAGCCTTACGAACAGCACCCTACAGTTTCCTCAGTTTACCTCAGTGGAAGTCCAAACTTTAGAACTGCGTCATTGAAGGAAGCCAGAGTTGTTGAAGCCAGATTGTCACTTGACACACCAAAATACATTATCTACATGAGGAATACAAATGAGAAAAATAAACAAATTTAAACAAAGGCTCAGGAGAACACCATTAAAATGTCATTCGTCACCTGAACCATTTTCCTGACTTCAATCTTTGAATAAATTTTGTCTGGTGATCAATATCCTCACTATGATACACAGCTATATGTATGGCTATCAACTAAGCCTATTATAGGACTACTTCAAATAATTGCACTTACTGTGTGCTATGCAATATATTGTATCACATACATGTAATAAAAAATAATTATGTTTAGTACCTTCCTGGAGAAGCCATCTATGCCTCCAAAGATCACCATGTTGTACCTTGGTTAATGAATTATATGTTAAATTTACTACAGTTGATGCCAAAGATAAATTGGAACATTATATTACTATTTATGTTATATTCATTATACAAACCTTATCAACTTGTGATTTGTATCGATGTGCATCAGTGACTTTGGGGCTGGCACAGAACATGTTCTTCTGATCACACAGCCCAACTCTGACATTCTGGAAATGATGCCAACGGTGTCTACTCTGTGCATTGAAGAACGGACTCTCTCCCACTGCACCCAATGTCCTTGTGCCCTCAGCAAACCCATCATCATTCTGTATCCTGCATTTGGGTTTCTGGCATGGACTGTGGACACTAGGGAGTCCAGTTCCTCATCAGTCAAGATGCTGTAGCTTGCCCTCACAGATAATCCCCACTCTGCCATACGCCTGTGTACTGTAAATCTTGACACGCCCAACAGCCTGGCTATACATGTTACAGGCAATCCCAAGGAAAGAAGCTGGGATGTATAGTCCTCAGAAAGCCCTATCTTTGGACGGCCATTCATTCCCTTCTCATGCTCAATAGTGATGCAGATCTCCTTGTTGTTTAGATCGCATGCCATCTGGTGGACCTCTGCAAGTGCGTTATAAACATCTTGAGGAACATCTACTTGAGCTGAGACTGAACTAAGGAGTACCAGCTCCTGTGAACACACAAATTCTAAGTAATCTATATCAAGAGGAACACGGTCAAGCCAACTCAGAAGTCGAGTATGGAGCCTTTCCAATAAATGGCCGAGGAACAGTTCCTAAAACAAAGTAAAGTAGGTTAATTAATACTAGCCCAGATGATACAGATTTTTGCATACTATAGCAAAATAGTTTACCTAATCACTCCTAGGTTATAGCGGACATACAAAATAAAGTACATATCCATTTCTTTTCTAGCTAACATTAAATTAACTACATCCAATTCAGAATGTAAAAATTGTGTTGGGGGTAGCGCCACCAACTTGTCACCGATAATTCCAGAAACATGACTACACCAATCCTGGATATTGTTTAGAGCTATCTAACGCTGAACGTGAAAGCCATCATAGTGGATTTTTACAGTTAATGTTATCAAAATGTTTCCATGTAAACGCATTAGCTAATAAGCTAGGTTAACTAGCTAACCTAACCTAGATAGGTTAACTCGCCAGCTAGCGTGCAGTCACCATCTACCATTACCTCCACGGCAACACTATTACGAAAATTAAGACATAGCGTTAGGTTAATGTTAATAACGTTTACATTAGTATTAACGTTACCAAAAATAGGAATGAACTTACCGTCTGAGCTCGTCGTTCCATATTCCAACAACAGGGACGCTTTCTTAGCTAGCTAGTTATTTGGCGTTGAGCAACTGGTCGTCTGGTGGCGTCCAGGAGTTTTTTTCTTTTTTTTTGCGCTAAAATAAGCTCCTTTGTTTGGTCATGAATAACGTCTCATCCCCACTGCCCCACCCCCTTCCAAGCTCTGCTCCCTCAATGAAGCAGCTACAAGTACAGAAATCGGTTTTGCAACAAGTCTACTGAGAGAAGTGTTGCAAAAGTCGAGGCGAGCAGATTTGAAGTTGTGCGGTCATGTTTACGAGGTTGTGGGCTCGAATTTGTGGTTGTAGACCAAAAAATGAATCTGTGTACAAATAAATACACTTGTATTTTTGTCTTAGTATTCGTTCACACAGTTGTGACCTTTTCTCTGTGACTTCAAATTTAAAAAACAGTTGTGAGAATGTTTTCTACGAGTGACAATTTTACATGCAAGTTCAGATTTTAGTTCTGCAAGTTCTCACATCAAAAATACAAGTACAGATTTTGTTTTACAAGTTCTCAGATCGAAAATACAAGTACAGATTTTATTTTACAAGTTCTCAGATCAAGTCCTACAGGTTCTTAAGTTTTGCAACATAATTACCTCCATAATTACCTCCATAAGAGGCTTCCTTCTGGGACGACAGCCATGCAGACCGAGTTGATGCATTGTGCGGTGTATGGTCTGAGCACTGACAGGCTGACCTCCCACTTCTTCAACCTCTGTAGCAATGCTGGCAGCACTCATGCGTCTATTTTTCGAAGCCAACCTCTGGATATGACACTGAACACGTGGACTCAACTTCTTTGGTCGACCCTGGCGAGTCCTGTTCAGAGTGGAACCTGTCCTGGAAAACTGTATGACCTTGGCCACCGTGCTATAGCTCAGTTTCGGGGTGTTAGCAATCTTCTTATAGCCTAGGCAACCTTTGTGGAGAGCAACAATTCTATTTCTCACATCCTCAGAGAGTTATTTGCCATGAGGTGCCATGTTGACTATCCAGTGGCCAGTATGAGTGAATTGTACCCAAAACACCAAATTTAACAGCCCTGCTCCCCATTCACACCTGGAACCTTGTAACTCTAACAAGTCACATGACACCAGGGAGGGACAACGACACAATTGGGCACAATTTGGACATGTTCATGTGAGGTGTACTCACTTGTGTTGCCAGCTATTTAGACATTAATGACTGTGTGTTGAGTTATTTTCAGAGGACAGTAAATCTATACTGCTATACAAGCTGTACATTGACTACTTTAAGTTATATCCAAGTTTCATTTCTATAGTGTTGTCCCATGAAAAGATATAATAAAATATTTACAGAAATGTGAGGAGTGTACTCACTTTTGTGAGATACTGTATTAATCAGATGCTACATGCTATTTTTGTTCTGGTGCATTAACTACAGAACTTTTTCTACAATTTTTTCCCCCGGCAGATCAAAGTCATCTCAGAACTTTCCACATCATTGTGAAGAAAATGAATCAGTCTGAGGCTCAATCAGTTTGCAGAACCAACTACACTGACCTGGTTACTGTGTACAGTGAAGAAGACAACACTACACTGACTAATCTAATTAAGATGACTAACATGAATGGTATCAGTGGAGCCTGGATTGGTCTGAACCGAAATCAGTCCATCAGTGATAAATGGTCTAATAGAGATAATGTTACATTCAGTAATCTAACAGGGGTCTGTGGGTCAGGGTCCTGGTGTGCTGCTATGAAGGCTGATGGTTTATGGGAAATCTCACCTGCACAGAGAAAAGAAATTACATGTGTTATAAACGAGGTAACTACTGACTATTAACTATATAGATTTAAAGTATATTCACTATATTTATGAAACCCACCCTGCAAACAATGGTAACCTGGCAAGTGAAATTAACATAAATCTAGTCAATTTATCTAATATTTCTTATGTTGATAAGCTTATTATAAGGTTAGTTAACTAACTTACAGGCAAACTTTTACATGTTTGAAGTTTTTCAAGTATCATGTAAAATTATCTCACTATATTGGTGTCATGGATTTTGATTTAAATTCTAAAACATTATAAAACTTTAATTTTAATTTTTATATTTCTATCAGCACCTTCTCTAGGTTTAAATGAGAATTGCTTTAGATCAATTATACAGACTCAGTAGATAGTTAGACTGTAACACAATATAAAGTTCACTGTATTGAGATAATAATGTAAGTCACTCATATCACTAACGTTAGCTCTCTGGCTTATTTTTAACAATACTCACTTTCATGGAGGCGTCCATGATTTTTCTTACTTTGTAGTTCAAACTTGCAGATGCAGATAATGACATTATTCTACTTCTATCTCTGACTTCACACATCTCGCAGTCGAATGCATTGTTACTTTTACACATTTTTGGTTGTAGCCATATTTCTATAAAATCTGTAATAAGCTACACTGTTCAAAATGGCTACTAAAACAAAATTATGTTGGAGGCCACGGAGCAGTAAACTTGACATTCAGAGGAAATGAACTTGAGGGATCACAATATCAAACTGACCAATCATTTCATGAAAGCTTTTCATTTGAGTCATTTTACACAGTCCTATAGAATTACTACAACAGTGAATATGTTCTTACTCTTACTCTTAGTAATGTAAGTAATGTGTGAATTGCTGTGTCTGTCTTGTGTGTGAATGTATAACTTCAAACTTACCTCAACCTAAATGTGATGCCTGGTGGCAACTGTTTCTTGTTTACCTTTATAAATAATTTATTTTATACATAATAATTATGATTTTTTCCCTTCATTCACTCCTAAGAGTCTAAACTCCCCTCTGGGGAGACTCAACTTGGACTCTCCCTGGCGCTGCCAACTCTTCTCCTGTCCCACATACCTGCAGCTCCTTTTGGACTCATTAAGACTGCTTTATGTACCCCCTTGGTTCCCCCATGTGTTTGTGAAGTCTCTGTGTTTGTCACTTGCATTCTGAGTCTGTTTCTTGGGTTTGTTTTTTCCTGGTTTTGACCTCTGCTAGTCTCTTTGTTATTTCTGAATATGGTTCTGCATCTGTTCCTGCCTGCCTGTGTGCTGACCCCTGCTTGCTATGACAATGAGTATCAGAATACCTAGATTACTCATAGCCTGAGTCTCTAAACCTGGAATAAACACAGTCTGAGTATATAAACCTAGATTACTCACAGCCTGAGTATCTAAACTTAGATTAATCACAGTCTGAAGGTCTAAACCTTGATAAATCACTGGTTTAGTATCCAAACCTGTATTAATCACAGTCTGAAGGTCTAAACCTTGATAAATCACTGGTTTAGTATTCAAACCTGGATTAATCACAGCCTGAGTATCTAAACCTGGATTAATCACAGCTTGAGTAACTAAATCTGGTTTATACACAGCTTGAGTTTCTAACCCTGGATTAATCACAGTTTGAGTGACTAAATCTGGTTTATACAGATCTTGAGTGTCTAAACCTGGATTAATCACAGCCTGAGTATCTAAACCTGGATTAATCATAGCCTGAGTATCTCAACTTGGATTATTCACGGTTTGAGTATCTAAACCTGGATTATTCACAACTTGAGTAAGTAGACCTGGATAAATCACAGTTTGCATATGTAAGACAATTTTATGGTACAGTAATAACCCAGCAGTTCTAAGGTAGCCACCAAGGTTAAGATTAGGGGTAGAATTGGGGCTAGGGTGTGGGTTAGGATTAGGTTTTGGGTTAAGGTTAAGATTAGGGGTAGAATTGGGGCTAGGGTGTGGGTTAGGATTAGGTTTTGGGTAAGGTTAGGTTTTATGTAATGTAACATGGAACTAACATATAAAGTCTTCATGTACGTCTACTTAATGTAAGTAATGTATCAACCGTACATCTTCAAAACATTTACCTTGATGTATTCAGACACTGCACTACTGCTACTTCACTGACATGTAACTGATACTCTGTTAAGACTGCTTCAATCATCTATAAAAGACCACTAAAAATAAAGTGTTAACAAAAAAAACAAAAAAACAGCATACTTTCAAACATACTACGTCATTTCAGAGGCTCCATATGCAAAATCAAGATGATTTAGCAGTCATTTTATATTTGTATCTTTGCTCACTGAATTGAAATCGAACCATAAAGTGCCTCGAGATTCCCACCCTCACTCCCTAACATGTCAGAGACCTTAGGTCCCATTGTGCTTAGTGGACATGTATTATTTGGCCATTATCTGCAGTTTTTACAGTATTTTTCACCTACAGTTTATAATAATTATTACATAATTAGAACATAATTAATGAGCATCAAAATACATTTCCAAACTTGTGAATTCCTACTTCCAGCAAAACAACCATTGGTAGATAATGTGTAGTGAGTTGTGCATTATCAAGTCAATCTTGGGCAAAATTTTTTTGTATGATGTATGTTTTGCTTTCAGTGCCAGATCAGGTTAAAATAAGTTTAAATCTGAATGCTTCCACATAAGACATTGCTTGTGTGTAATGTGTGGTTTCTAGGGAGGTGGATATGTATTATTTGGCCAATAAATAGTAAATAGACCCAGTCAGGTCATTATTGTACAGCGTTCTGTCCCCATCTCTACTATTTTTTGTATTAGTGAAAGTCAGAGCTGTTTGGATTTTTGCATACTAGAGCCACTTGAAGAGCTAGCTACAACTATGTTATTCAAAAGTAAATCTTCCTCTTGCTCTGTATGGCCGTTTTTAAAAACTTTTTATTTATTTATTTATTTATTTATTTATTTATTGTTTGTTTGTTTGTTTGTTTATTTGTTTGTTTGCCTGCTATTCCCAAGCTTCTATGCAACATATGCAAAGCGCTTCTTCCAGCTCCTGCATCTGTCTCAGGTTTATTGACCTATAATACTCTAGTTATACTCAGTTATTCAAAAGCAAGAACAATGGCTCTTTTCTCTGGTCCAGACAAACACAGAAAATTTAAGAATTCAAGCGCTACTTGCTTTATTTACAAATGCAAACTTTTCCTCTAAGCACTCTGAGGGGAAAAAAAATCAACAGTGAACCTTTTCTCCACACCATACAAGGTTTATTAATCTCCTAGCTGCCAGTTTGAGAAATATTGATTTTTTAAA